ACATGGCGTCAAATTTCAAATGGATGAATTAATTTGATATTCTAATCCATCCTTTGTTTAGGTTGCGTTTAGTCTGATAATTTACAAAGATTGGTCTTTTCAAAGAAAATAAATTCCCAGGTTTCCGCAATAGTTATACTGGCTATTTAATACAAGACCTTGTACATGTTATGTATTGTTCAAAGAACTTGAGATTCCCTTTATATTTGGTGTATGATTGATGCGTGCAAAATAAGGAGCCGTTACCTCCTTTTAACATGTTGTAATTCATTCGTTGCACTTTAGAAGTTGATACTGCCTACTCTGTCAAATTAATTTTCCTTATTTTAGTGACTGCTACAGTTTGTGGACCAGTTCAAACTGATCATTTGAGCACACGAGGGCATTAATTTTGATCCACTATAATGGTAATAGTAGTAGTAGTAGTAGTAGTAGTAATAATAATAATAATAATAATAATAATAATAATAATAATAATAATAATAATAATAATAATAATATTAAGGTACATCCGATTGAATCATAAGTGCACATTGCATTGCAGGGGATAGTGGGTTCACCAGTGCATAATAGGATATTCTTGTTCTATATATCATTATATAATTCAATATTGTCACAGAGAGAGAGAGAGAGAGAGAGAGAGAGAGAGAGAGAGAGAGAGAGAGAGAGAGAGAGAGAGAGAGAGAGATTAAAGAAATTATACCATATTTTACATGTACACATATATATAAACATATACTTTCATTTGCACCCACCAATGCATATATGTACACATATATATAAACATATACTTTCATTTGCACCCACCAATGCATATATGTACACATATATATAAACATATACTTTCATTTGCACCCACCAATGCATATATGTACACATATATATAAACATATACTTTCATTTGCACCCACCAATGCATATATGTACACACATATATAAACATATACTTTCATTTGCACCCACCAATGCATATATGTACACATATATATAAACATATACTTTCATTTGCACCCACCAATGCATATATGTACACATATATATAAACATATACTTTCATTTGCACCCACCAATGCATATATGTACACATATATATATATAAACATATACTTTCATTTGCACCCACCAATGCACATATGTACACATATATATAAACATATACTTTCATTTGCACCCACCAATGCATATATGTACACATATATATAAACATATACTTTCATTTGCACCCACCAATGCATATATGTACACACATATATAAACATATACTTTCATTTGCACCCACCAATGCATATATGTACACATATATATAAACATATACTTTCATTTGCACCCACCAATGCATATATGTACACATATATATAAACATATACTTTCATTTGCACCCACCAATGCATATATGTACACATATATATAAACATATACTTTCATTTGCACCCACCAATGCATATATGTACACATATATATAAACATATACTTTCATTTGCACCCACCAATGCATATATGTACACATATATATAAACATATACTTTCATTTGCACCCACCAATGCATATATGTACACATATATATAAACATATACTTTCATTTGCACCCACCAATGCATATATGTACACATATACGCACATTATCAAATACATAGATATACACACATAAAATTACATTCATATACATATAAAGATGCGCATATATATATATATATATATATATATATATATATATATATATATATATATATATATATATATATATATATATATTCATAAATACACACATACATGTTACTACTACATTCATCATTCACTTACTAGTTTTATTCAGCAACTATTTTCTTTACTAATTTGACATTTTGTACATACTGGTATCCCTTTAAATGTTTTTTTTTCTTCTGTTATTATCAATCTCCTGAAAAAACAACAGCGTTCTGGTGTCCTAAGTAGTTAGAGTATCTGCCTCGGATTCGGGAGGTTGCGGGTTTGCACTGAGTCATATCAAGGACATATAAAAATGGTACTACCAGCTGCGTCGCTTGGCGCTCAGCTTTAAGAGGTTAGTGCTAGCACTGGTCGGCCTGGTTACAGAATAGTGTGACTAAGTGGGACATGTCTGTGGCATCATGTCCCAGTGCTAGACATCACTATAAACTGCCACAATGAAGACATCGTAGCGATATGACTGAAAAATTATTAAAGCTACGATAAAAATGCAAGTCAGACACACGCGCGCGCGCACACACACACACATACACATATATACAAACATCTAATAAAACAAATACAAAGATTAAACAACAAATGTTACTTTAACAGCTTTCTTCAACCTTTTATTTTTTATTTCATGAGATAACGTAACGTTGAACCTTGTCCAAGATCAGTGGCAATTTAGTAAACAACATTTTCTGAGTGGGAGCCATTATCGTAAGCTGAATCAAGGATATTACAGTTATTATACCTTGAATACGTGATAATTGTTATTTGTTTTATTGTGATTTTGGTGATGGACATTGTAATAATAACTAAGACCCTTCTTAAACAATGAATTTTCGACCCTTATTCGAGTCTCATTTTACGCTCTTGTTTTAAAATACAAATCGTATTTACTTTAAAATTAGTTATTACTTGCTTTGAGATCTTAGCAGAATCATTTGTATTACCGTTGTGTCCAGAAATTCATCTAGCCTGAAATTTATTTATTCATATTCTTTGCTTTCAGTCATCTCTGAAAAAACAAAGTGCTCTAAGAAAATAACATTCTTGGACCTAGAGACTTGAAATTTTAGTGAAATATAAAGTGTTTAATTTTTAGATTATTCAAACCTTTACTTTTTAGGACTTGCGTGTTTGTAATTCTAGAATTATTTGGGACTTTTGAAAGAATCCTTTCTACCTTTTTCATATGGAATTCTGCGGAAATAAATTATTTGTTGAATTTTACAAAGCTTGCTGTGACTTGACCATTTCCATTGCTTTATTTAAGACCATAGAGTTGTAATATATATATATATATATATATATATATATATATATATATATATATATATATATATATATATATATATATATATATATATATATATATATAATAAGTCTATTGTGACAAACGTGATCCCTTGGTGGATCCAGTACGCTTGAGAGGGTTGTTATTCGCCATATGATTTGTATTCTTTATATATATATATATATATATATATATATATATATATATATATATATATATATATATATATATATATATATATATATATATATATATATATATATATATATATATATATATATATATATATATATATATTGCAATGTGTCAATGATTTACCACGAAATGTATTCATTTCTCATTGGAGCCCCAAGTGGTGTAAAGCGCTCTCCGTTACGGATCACTGTCATCTCACCTGTGTCAGCGTGGATTCGAGTCCAAGATTCGGCGAATGTGGATAGGTGAGAAAGCTTGACAGTAGATTCTCGTGGGTCGGTGCTTCTTTCCGCGGACTTCACTGTTTCTTCCTCCACCATTAATACTGGCCGCCATGTATAGCCTATCATGTGCTTTAAAATGGCGTTAAGCCACACAACAACTTTTCTCATTAAAATGAAACGAGGCTTGCCGAGTTTCCTTTAATGAAAAGTGTTTGCAGCGAGTGGTATATCATTGATACTGTGCATGTTCTATACATGTATTTTATCCATATCACATACAAATACATATATTTGCCCATTGAACGGTATAAAGATTTATTACAGGCAACTGTGTCTTGATTGAGTGAATGAACTCCTCATATCCATGTAGAATGAAGTTCTATGACTTCTGTGGCTATTTACAATCACCTTTGCATATTCATAAGTTCATTCTTTTTTTTTTAAATTTATATTTTTACTTCTAATTGATTAAATTAATATAATATACACTTATGATTTAAACATGAAATATGGTTTTAATGAAGAATGTGGAGCATTAAAAACACATGATTATTATGCTGTTCACAAGAACGATCAGTTGATCTATGTAATTATTACAACAGTAATGCTGACAATAACTCTCTCTCTCTCTCTCTCTCTCTCTCTCTCTCTCTCTCTCTCTCTCTCTCTCTCTCTCTCTCTCTCTCTCTTTGTATCCTGCTAAGATGGTCCAGAAACAGAGCGAAGAGGGCAGCCTTTGGACATTTTAGTTAGTTAAAAATAATCGCGTTTTAGACAAATATAATAGGTTTATGAATCAACAACAACAACGACAACAAAATACTATCTACATAAAAGTATGTGTACCATATAATCGAGAAATTTACTCTATAATGTCGACAGAATCTGCAGCTTTGTATCATTCATTACATAAAGACTGTAGATAAATCCAAAAGAAAGTGCACACATATCATCACTACGGACCATATTCGTGTAAGTTGCATGGTGTAAGTTTAATTTAAAGGTTTTTCATCCATAGTAAATTATTTTTGTCCCTCAAACTCCAGATTTCTTGTATGAGAGAGGAGTTGGGGCAGAAAGTAGAAAGGATTGGAATAAAATTATGTTCCATAATAAATTCATTTAGTAACGGGAAATATTAATCCTTTTCAACGTTATTTTCATTCATCTCTAATCAAAGTGTGGAAATTCATCATTGGTCTAGAATCAACAGCACACGATTGCGATAATGTTTATACCTGCTTATTATTACGTCATGGGCGGATCACAGTTTGATATACTAATAACAGTGGTATATCAAATTGATTTATATCTACAATTTAAAGGCCATGCTATTTCTAATGCATGTGGTGTGTGCGTATGTATCTATATATATATATATATATATATATATATATATATATATATATATATATATATATATATATATATATATATCTGTCTGTCTGTGTGTACGCTGTATCAATAATATACCAATAAAGTGCATAATTAATGTAAAGGAAACAAGACTTGCCGAATTTATTTTTAAATTAAAACTTTAAACTAGTGTTATATCATCGATACAGTGTTCACACTATACATATATTTTATTGATTGCTCCGGTGGTCTAGTGGTTAGAGCGTCCGCCTCGGATGCGGGAGGTTGTAGGTTCGAACCTTGGCCGAGTCATGCCAAAGACATATAAAATTGGAACTAACAGCTGGCTCGCCTTGTGCTCAGCATTAAGAGGTTATTGTTAGGACTTTTTAGCCTGGTGTCGGGATAATGTGACTGGGTGGGACATCATGCTACATGTCTGCAGCACGATGCCCCAGTACTAGACACTACTATAAACTGTCACACTGCAGACATCATAGCAATATGACTGAAAATTTGCTAAAGATGCGTTATAAATCTAAATCACAGACAATCATATAACGGTATATTATGATATCACATACAAATACATGCATTTGTCCTTTGAACAAAGTTGAGGTTGGATAAAGGCACTGTGTATTGAAGTCGTCACATCCCTGCCGATTGTGTCAGCTACAAAAAGTAGCTATGTGTCTTTTGTATCTTTTCATAGATTGTTTCCATTTTTGAATTTCCATTTGTATTCACAATGTTAAAATCAATACAAGACATAATTGTGATTTAAACATGAAAGATGGTTCCAATGAAGAATGTAGAGCAAATCAAACATATAGTTAGACGTTTGATGAATGTTATGCTGAGTCGTAACGAAATGGCTGTCCAGATCTGTATAAGCACTTTCTTGTTTGAAAATGAGCAAATTTTGGATATTATGAAATTGTTTCAAAAGTACAAAAGTACATTAAAGGTACGATACATTATGGCTGATGTTTTGTCATTTGATTCTAAATATAAAGGCTATCGTTTATTAGTCTTCTTTAGACTGTGTAATGACTAACTGACAGTGATCTGTGTATTGCATACTATATGCTTTTCATTTCGAAGTTTGGTAACATCGTTCAAAACTTTCCTATGAAAATATATCTTCTTCTCTCTTTCCTTTTTGAGAACCTTTAACCTTTAACTATCAACATAATTTGTTGCTGTTATTTTGCTTTTTTTCTTTTACTTATACCACATGTCGTAATTAATTATCACTGCATTTATATGGGAAAGGACTTATCAAATATTCTGAGAACTTTTTGCAGACCCATTTTGCATAATTTATCAAATACAAATCTATCAAATAAAAATTATTCCTTACTTTTGTAATTTGACCCATTCTTAAACCATGATAATAACCAGATATTTGAGCAATACTTTTCTCTGGTTGACTCATTTGTTACATTTATAGACCATAACACCTTTAATATCATTTATTCCGTAACTCCTAATTGGCTTATAATAACCATTTAACTTAAGATAATTGTCAGTAGTGCCTTTATCTAGTTTATTGTCTTCAAGTACAGTACGGTCCACATTATTGCCCTATTGACGGCAAACAGATCGATAAATTTGCAACTATATGCACTAAGTCGACCTCCATTTTTTCTTTTTTTTGAGTTCATTGCTATATGACTAGAGATATTAAATCATACGCATGCAAATAAATAAATAAATACATATCTAATTTAGCCAGAGATCACTAAAAATCCCATTCACTAATTGTGGACCGATCTCGTTTGATTGTGTAAACAAATGCGTAAATAGAGTTTTAAACAATTCATTCCGAATGAGTTTTTGACCGATTTGGTAATAAGGTAATATATTGCAGGATACTTTTATTTCATAAAATTACTTACGAACCTCTGATCATAGGTACATCTTGTATATATAGCAAACATCTACATAAAAAACAACAATGACATATTAGGTAATACGGAGCCATTAAATCAGAGATGGATTCATTGGAGGTAATACAGGTTTGATGACAAAACTTTAAATGTTGAATTATCTCTGAAAGAAAGGTTCTTTTTAAACTTGATCTCATTAGTGGACTTACACCATTGATGTTCACAATTATCGGTGTTCTATCATTAGTATGCACCATATTAGCAGGTAATATGATGGTCAGGTTGATACATTAACAAAGAAAATATTCCTAGTCAGAAAGGTTATTATAACATATCACTAAAACCTTCTACTATACAGCTAGATATAAGTCAAATTATACTGCCAATAAAACAACCACAGAAAGTACCTTTATATGGGACTGGAGAGCTTTTGTTTTATGTTATCTATCTATCTATCTATCTATCTATCTATCTATCTATCTATCTATCTATCTATCTATCTATCTATCTATCTATCTATCTATCTATCTATCTATCTATCTGTCTGTCTGTCTGTCTGTCTGTCTGCCTATTTATGATCTATCTTTTTCTCTATGTATGTATGTATGTATGTATGTATGTATGTATATATATATATATATATATATATATATATATATATATATATATATATATATATATATATATATATATTGCCTATTTCCCATTTTGTAATATATTTACAAGCAGACAAGGTAAATCTGCTTCATAGACCGGTTTCATTTAGTGAGCAAATGTCAAGTATAATTACATATATATGTACATGTGTTTAGTACAAATCAAAACATAATTAGAGTTGTATTCGCCGATTGGTGGAGAATGAAACATTTACTACGGACATAATGTATTACCATCAGCATTAGTGTCTTTCGCTGATCAATACTACATACATCATAACAGTCTATGTGTAATGCAATATCACTTGCTCCACATCCATTTTAGATGCATCATACAAATGTACGTATTACATGAAAATTATATAGCGTTTGATACCCTCACAAACTGTCAATTAGATGTATTTGAAAACGAATTACAGGGCACTTTCTGACTAGATTAGTGATATACGGAAGCAATGAGCTACAGATTATCCACCATGAGATAACACAATAACTGCGACGTACACAGTGATTGTTGTATGTCTACACACATCTGTCGCGCTGTCTCCTGTTATTAAAAGCATCGACCAGGTCCAACAATATATAGTTTCAGAACAGGTGAATTTAATGGCAGCTTATTTGCATCGGCAAAAGAGAGTGAGCGCTCGATGGCCAGCACTATTACATTCAGTTTATTTTTCCTCTTCGTAGCAGTATTGTAAGCGACATTAGCCTAGCAACTGTGGTTGTGTCAACCGGCTCCCGCCAGGTAGGGACAAGAAAGCAGCTCACAGCGCATTGTTGCAAGCATACAGTGTAGAAACCGGATTTTCATGGAGGACTAAGTAATATGGAGCCGATTCGCGCCTTTCAGAATGTCATCTGCTGATGGAATTTTTTTTCATTGTTCGTATATCTCGTTTCAGGAAGGATATAAAATAATCTCTTATGAGCTTTTATTTCAAAACAATTTTTTTTCTTTGTGACGTTTTTATTTTTATTTTAGCTTTTTAATTGCAAAAAGAAAAAAGCTTTTACATGGGCGAGATTTCACACTGGTATGCTAAATCTTTTGTCACATGGTATTTAAAGAATTTCAGACGTCAGGTTTTTCTCTTACTGATAATTATCGCACATTTATAATTTGGATATTTTATTATGTTCATCTAACGTTTAACCACTCCATATTTGTGTTAAATATATTCAAATATACATATAAATTTCAAAAACATTTAGTGAAAGCGAAATAATATTCTTAAAAATTTGACATGTGCAAAACTTAATCATATAAAAATTGCTTCAGTTTTCTGTGAGGCGCCATTATGCAGAAAGCTATTAGATTTAACGAAAGCCAGCTTTTATACCTTGTCGGTAAAGCCCGTCATGAAAACACCATCAGTAGCTATTTATATAAGAAAAGCTCGGACACCGGCAAATGGCAGATGAGGTATTTTGTGCTCTATCAAAACTTTCTTTTTTACTTCGAAAATGAATCTTCCAATCGCCCATCTGGAGTAGCGCTATTGGAGGGGAGCTATTGTGAACGAGTCATTACCCCCTCAGCTGTAAAAGGGAAGGAGACCGAAAAACAGGTATGTCTATAATGATTTTAATACTGAACATTATTTCCACTTTAGCTTTCTTTATTAAGTTATATCGTCAAATAGTGTTCTTAAAAGTTCTCTCCTACATCCACCAGTCTAAAGTCATCGTATCAGAGAATGACATTTCATAATAATGCAGTTTTGCATTTCTTCTTAACATCTTACAACGTTTCACTTTTTCCTTTATTTTTTCTTTCTTCCCTCTTTCTATCTATGAATTTATGAAAAATCCTTTTCTCTTTATATAACCGTAGCGTGAAATGTGAAAACTGATTTCGACATAACATCCAAAACAGAATATGGTCCCTCATTGTAGATGACACCAGCCTTGGCCATTATAATACTTTAAAGATTTTGAATTTTATATAACCTTTGAGATCAAGTGTCTTCAATGTTTCTGACGATTCTGCCTGAAAACATTGCTTCTTTATATTCTTCCAAAAATACAAACATTTGTTTCGTTTGACACTAATTTAAAACTATTACGCTATAATTCGAATAAATGTCTGATTTGATTTGGTGCAGTGCATTCTATATTATATTATTTCTAATAATAGCGTTTTGGATAAAATTATGGTTCATGGTTATATAAAATCCAGACAGATTCTTTGATTATGGACGCGTAATTTTTATTTAGAAAAAACATCTTTTTAAATTTATGTAATTTTCAAGGAAGCTCTTAATTTTTAAAGCTACAAAAGCTACTGAAACACTTCCTGATAGTGGTATATCACTGAGCTTACTAAAGATGGCCTTTTGAGAAACGAGTTGATGTCATTTTTTTAAATCAGATATAGTTCTGATGTGTTAAGAAGTATTTTATCCACATCGAAGATCCTTCTAGATATCTTTGCGCTATTATTTGTGTAATATTCAAAATAATTTACAGATGCGCATGTCCTAGAACCTCTTTTATACGTTTTAATCGATCGTTGGGTAGCTGGTCTATCTAATTGAATATGCATATAGTGTTTCATGAAAACTAAGGCCAAAACCAGTCTTATCAGCTTGCTTTGAAAGCTTAACAAGGCAATTAATAGTTTGGATCGGTGATCACACATAAGGTTTGCAGTATTTTTAATGTTACAATGATATTTGAAAATTAACACTATTTTTCTTATAAATTACATATATCACAAATCTTCAGACTTTGCTTATCCCGCTCGCTTTGCTTCAAATGC